AGCCAAACCGGACAGTCTCTAAGCAAAAGAATTAATGGACACAAATCTGACATCAGGAATCATAATACTCAAAAACCAGTGGGAGAACACTTTAACCTGTCTGGCCATTCAACGACAGACCTGCGGGTGGCTATCTTACAACAGAAAAACTTCAAAAAACAGATTCCAACGAGAGACTGCTGAGCTGGAATTGATATGCAAACTAGATACAATCAACTCAGGATTGAATAAGGACTGGGAATGGCTGAGCCATTACAAACATTGAATCTATCTCCCCTTGTAAGTATTCTCACACTTCTTATCAAACTTTCTGTACTGGGCTAGCTTGATTATCACTTCAAAAAATTTTTTTCTCTTGCTTAATTGGCCTCTCAGAGTTGGTAAGACAACTCCCACCAGTTCATGCTCTCTGTATGTGTGTATATATATCCCCTCAATATATGTTCCACTCTATATGCATCCGAAGAAGTGGGCAGTAGCCCACGAAAGCTTATGCTCTAATAAATTTGTTAGTCTCTAAGGTGCCACAAGTACTCCTGTTCTCTTTTCAAGAAGATTGCCAAAAGTCAGCAGCACAGGGAGGCACAAATCTCATTGGTGCTGATATGCAGAGCCCATCTCCAAGAAGAGACTACTGTTCTGAGTTCTCATTTAGTTAACATATATTGTCTAGTGTATCTCAAGCCTTTCTGAAATATCCTTCCATTGCATAAGGTTACATGGGTGTAGAGTTTCATGTGGATTGGTTTGCTCTTGGCAAAGTTAGAAAGCATGTAAAAATCAACTTTATAATGAAAAGTAGCTTTAATTTTAAAGTATGGAGATGCTTGTCCCTTCCTAATTATTACTGGTCTAACTAATGGCCTCTATAAAACCAGTTTTCCTTGCATCCCGTCTTCTACTTTTTTACCACTTCTGTTATTTCTCCATATCTAGATTGACAGCTTCTGGGGCCAGGAGCTTTTGTCTTCATACTTGATTGTAAAGCCCCATGTACACCTATTTCTCTAAAAAAAGAGCAGATGAAAAGTTTGGAAGAAAACAGTCACTTACTTCTTCTGTAGTAGGTGAACAATATGGAGATTTCCTTCTACTTTAATTAGATAAGACACCTTCTCCTAGAACATTCAAATAAAAAAGTAGAATTCAATAGTATTCTAAAACTCTGACTAATCAATCCCTATACTGTATTCCATTTTATAAAAATTGTATTCATACATTTCCTCAGATTGTGTTCAGAGAAGATTTTCTTCTCCTTTCATGTAAGGCCTCGCTACAGCAACGAAGTTTGCTAAATATTTCCCAAAGCTGCCAATACTGGTCCAGCTAGATCACCATTAGCAATATAGAGTCCTGTGGCACCTTTAAGACTAAAAGATGTATTGGAGCATAAGCTTTCGTGGATGAATGCCCACTTCGTCGGATGCAGGCATTCAAGTGGGTATTCACCCACGAAAGCTTATGCTCCAATACATCTGTTAGTCTTAAAGGTGTCACAGGACTCTCTGTTGCTTTTTACAGATCCAGATTAACACGGCTACCCCTCTGATACATTAGCAGTATGGGGATCCTGTTTACATGAGGCTCCCCAGCATTGCTAAAATTGGTGTAGCTCAGTGTCAGCAAAAATGGGAAACATTTAGAAAATGCCCTTAGCGAACATAGAGCCTAACAGTTGACACTAAACACCATTGCCACAGCACTACTATGCAGTCTCAAATTGAGGCTGAATAACGATTTTGGAATAATGGATAGAATCAAATTAAATAGAGTAGGATGCTCTTACTGTCTTAATTTGGCAGCAGCCTCATCTTTACGGCTGCTCAGAACTGCACATTGCTCTGCAGGATAACACCTTTTCAGTGGCTATTGTGATTTATTCTTGCATACCATGTGTGCTCCACAAAAAAAGTGTCTCAACCTCATTGTTAGTGTATGAAGTGCAGAGCATGAATCCCACACATGCCAGTCCATTCTCAGGACTAGCTGACAGGGAAAGCTGATTTCCATAAAGAAAACACCATACTTCCTTATGGTATTCCATGATACAGGCATTCTTTAGGTTTTGTGCATTTAAAAATCTGGCCCGTAGCCCAAAGTCTTCTGAAAGGTATTTAGGTTCCCATCTGAATATTTAGGCACCCAAATACTTTCAAATCTCTGGTCCTAAGTCACTGTCTTAGTCACAGACTAGGGGTTGCAGTTTTATCATAAGGGCTATATTGTGGCATTTAGCCACAGCACAAAGCTATAATTTCAGTTCGAAAATTAGGATGGAGTTATTCCCCAGGAGTCAAACATGGACACAGAAGGTTGAAATTCAGTTTACAGTGCTCAGTTCATTTTTGGTTTTTTGTCTGTTTTAATTTACAGGGTTACAGGGAGAATGTTTCACTCAGTACTTCCCTCACTTGGTTAACATTTGGGTCATAAAACTTTCATTCTTCTAGATTCTTATTATACCATTTGTTGCTCAGAAAAGTCTTGTAGAATATTTCCAGTAGGAAAAGATATATTAAGAATCCCTAAACTATGACAACATAGGTCAAATTCTATACCTCACATACCAAGCAAAATTCCCCTTCAAAGAATGTACAGCATGAACTTCCAATCCTAGTACTCTAGGAGGAATTCAAGACAGATTACCAATAAAATCAGCATGCCAGAACTATTTCTCAGGGGTTTTATACTAGCCCACACAAATGGGCTATTCCCCCTACCAGAAGTTACAGACGAGAATAGCCTTATGATGGCATGACTATTCTTTAAAATTGGGGGTTGCCAACTCACAGAGGTACTTCCCTACTTTACAGGAGTGTTGTGAGGATAAACATTTTAAACATTGTGTAGTGCTTATATCCCTTGTTAATGGGAGCCATATAAATACCTTCTGAATTCCTTAGCTCCTTGCAATGAATAATATACTATATGTTTTACTTTAACATTATAAATGTTATTAATGCACACTGAGTTCCACTCATAAAAATGTCAAGTGCAGGTACACATGTAAGCAGAGACTATATTAAGGATTATCAACCCTTGTGCTTCAGAGGAGAACCAAGCCACTAATTGCTCAGGATAAGGAAGAAACTTTCTGCCCTACATACTTTATTATAGAGTTGGTTACACCTCCCACTTAAGCATCTGATACTGGCAGTTACCGAAGAGTGGATTCAGGGATCATTAGTCTGAGTCAACATAGCAATTCCAATTTTCTTAGAAAGCAGTGCTACCTTGGTGTCTATTCCATCTTTTGGTTCCAGCTTTCTTGGAACTATTACTTCAGAATAAGATAATTTTAAAGTCTCAGAAAAGCCTAGAAAGAGAAATAGTTTCAAATAAGTTAAACAGAATATAAGTTTACAGTTATTTGGATACGTGCTTCTGGATTCTGACACTGCAAATCATTTTATACAGAAGTCACTCTGTACAATGTGCGAAGGAGGAACAATTCCAGGGATAGCGATGAAGTCTGCGTCTCAATTCAATAATATTTGTAAATCATTTAATAAGCTTAGACACAGAGAGAACACAGTAGCATTACTACTCCTTTGGTTCTCTTTCCCACGCAAACCCAAGCCAATTTCTCCATCAGGCCCCTTCCATCCTCCTGATTTTCCGATCAACCTCACTGTATTTCCCCCATCAATAGGTTCTCTCTTCCAAGCAAACACTTACCTCTTCTACCAGACTACACCCTCCCTGGTCCATCTTACCCCATCACAGCCAGCTTCATTCTTCTAATACACCCCACATTAAGCCCTGCTCCTCTATCCCTCCTCTGCATCTCACAACTCTCAACCATGGCAAGCCCCATAGCCCCGACTGCTGCACTGTACTCTTCAATGAGCCCTATTCTCTGCCCCTGCAATCACAGTGGACACCACTTCATCACCTACGATTGCAAACCACACTCAGTATGCCACACTCCATCCATTGCAAACCTCTCCTCAGAAGAACGTTTGCCCCCTTACTCAGCGTCAAACTACCTCCTTATTCAGCCATATTCTCCCTATCCATATTCTGCACTCCCAACTAGACCCCCATCAAGTAGACCTCTCTTTTGTCAGGCACTCCGAAACTCTACTGGGCAAGACCCGTTTCCTTCTTCCTGTTTCATTACTCATAAATATACCTTCTAGGGCTATTCCCTTTTTCACAGTCACAAACCCTTTCCTGCTGCACCACTCCCACATCATCTTCACCAGACTGCACTCCTCTCCTCCCTTTGCCATCTGCCCAAGCTTTCATCAGCTGACTCAGGTCACTGCTCCACTGCCCAAACTCCTCCCACATCAAAGCTCTCCTTAATAAGGTCCACTACCTAATCTGTCCCCAGTTAAGCAAGTCTCTCTTTTTCTCTTTCTTCTCTTTTCTCCAACCCTGCCACCCCAGGTTCTGCCCAGTCTGCAGGCCCTGCTCCACTGCTCCAAAAATTTGCCTCTCCCAGGGACTCTCACTCCACGTGCCTGCCCTACACAGACCCTATCCATGAACACTTTTGTTTTAATCTTGGTAGGCCCCACTACCCCGCTCCCTGTGCCAGTACACCTGGGCCCCTGAGCAGGATTTATTCCACACTAGTGCCTCTCAAAGCCTCATTGGCAGGTCCTGCTCCATGTCTCCCTGCAGTCCCCGCAACATCCCCTTTCAGCAAACTGTACTCCTTACTGTGTATCCCAAACCGCCCCTCAGAGGAACTCACTCTGCCTCATTGCTCCATACCCCAAATAAAGCCTTCAGCAAACCCCACATCCCCTCCCTATTCTTTCCTCCCAAATTCACCTAGTCAAGTCTCACTCTGTGCCCCTGATTCAATCCCCTACAAACTACCCTCAGCTGGCATTGCTCCCCACTCACAACAGCTCCTGAAAACTTCCTTTAGGGAGCCCTACTCCATGCTCAGCTACCCTGAACCCCTTGGACTGCTCCCAAACATCCTCAGCATGCCTATTTCCCTCACAACCACCACACCTTTGCTCCCCACCAGAACACTAAACCTCTGAGGGGCCCACACCACCTTCTCTGTTCAAGCACCAATCGAGCCTTCTGTGGGCCCTGCCCTATCCCCATACTACCTCTTGACCACAGCCATGACACCAAACTCCCTACTCCACACCTTTCCCTTGCTCCCCATCCTGTTCTGCCCCTACCCCATAAAAATCCTTCTCTTCCTCCCAAAAAAGTCAGTGAGACTCATTCCCCATTCCCTGCAGTGCCTCCATTTGAATCCCACCTGGAAGGCCCCTCCCCCATCCCTCCTCCAGCCTCAATGAATTGGCCCCGCTATCCTTCCCCATGTGACACCGCAGTGTCTTCCCCCCTCCCCTGAGAGATACCACTTCCTCCTCCCTATTAATCTGGGGCAGGAGCAAAGTCCCAGCACCAGCCCGACCCTGCAACCCACAGGAGGAAGCCTTTAGCGGTTCCTCACACACACCAGCCTCAAGAGAAGTCACATCAGCCACTTCCCACCCAGCCCCCTCCCTGCTACAGCACTCGCCCCTTTCCAGCTGGTGCTCAGGGCCACCCTGCTCCAGGATCCAAACACTTCACAGCCCCTCGCCCTGGCTCTAACCCCTCCTTTCTCCCCTTGGTCATCCATGCTCCCTTTCCTCCTACCCCCAAGAGATTCTCTTTGCCCCCCTTCCCAGTTTGCCTCCATGAACCCTCAGGCCCACAGCCCCTTTTTGCCTCCTGCCTGGTTCTGGGCCCTGACCTGCTCTCAGCAGATCCTGAATCTTCCCTCTCTGGGCCCTGCTCTAGCTTCACAAATCCCCCACCCCTTGATATAGTGCCCAGTGCTCCCTGCTGCCCCCAAGACCCCATATTCCCCCTTCCCTCAAGCCCCTATTGTCCACATTGTGGCTCAGTCCTGCTCCTCCTCCTGTTCTGGCTGTTTTCCCTCACAGCCCTGCTCTGATTCCTGGCTCCCCCTTCCCTGCTTGGCCTCTGCCTTGCAAGCATGACCCCAAATATCTACCCGCTCTGGCATCTCCACCAGACTCCCTGCCCATCTCACCTGGGCTGAGGAGCAGGAGCAGGGCCCAGACCTGCAGCCCCATCCCCACGGCTCCTCACAGACACCGGCCAAGCACCTGCAGCAAGTTCAGAGACAGTGTCTCCCGCCCCCTCGGCTCAACTGCCCTAGTGCCAGCCCTGCTTCAACTGCCTCAGACCCACGTCCCCTCTCCTCCCCTCCCCTTCCTCCAATTGCCTCAGGGTCAGCCCCCCGCCCTCCAACTGCCCTAGTGCCAGCTCCGCTCCAGCCCAACTGCCTCAGGCCCACGTCCCCTTCCTTCCCCTTCCTCCAACTGCCTCAGGGCCCACCCCCTCTCCTCCTTCCAACACCCTAGTGCAAGCTCTGCTCCAGCCCAACTGCCTCAGGCCCAGTCCACGCCCCTCCCCTCCCCTCCCCTCTCCTCCCTCCAACTGCCTCAGGGCCAGCCCCACCCCCTCCCCTCCAACTGTCCTAGTGCCAGCTCCGCTCCAGCCCAATTGCCTCAAGCCCAGCCCCTTCTGCTCCTATTGCTTCAGTGCCAGCCCCCTTTCCCTCCCCCCAGCCTCAGTGCCAGCCCAGCCCCCTCCCCTCCTTACAACTGCCTCAGCCCCACCCCCTCTGCTAAACTGCCCTAGTGCCAGCTCTGCTTCCCTCCAACTGCCTCAGCCCCAGCCCTGCCCCCGCTCCAACTGCCTCAGACCCAGCCCCAACTGTCACCCAATCCTATCCCCCCCTTTCCTAGCCCCAACACCCAGCTCCCACCCCTGAACCTGCTGTTTGTCACGTCCCATTTGCCTCACTCCCTCAACAAATCCCTGCTCTGCAGGTCTAGCACCTCCCCATTACTCCCTCCCTGATTGGCTCCCACGTGAATCTCCCTCAGTCAACCGTGTTCCCCTCTCTTTCCTTCCCCCTCTATCCCCTCTTTTAACCCCAGCACCTCTCCTGCATCTCCTGAACTTCCCTTCATGGCCTGCTCCACTTGACAAGCTTTGCTCCTTCCTCCCTATTCAGTGCCCCCATACACCCCTGCAGGGCTATGCTCCTTCTCTGCCATCTGCTGGCCCTGATCCCCTTCTCCACGTGGACTAAGGGGGAGGAGCAGAGCCCTCAGCAGCAGCACAGAGCCCACACATCCCTTGGGAGGGTGTCCCCATCCCCACTGAGTCCTCACCAGCACCAGGTGAACACCAACCCTGAGAAACATCTCCCCAGCGGCTGCCTGCTTCCTCCTGGCTTCATTCCCCAACTCTTCCCTTAGTGCAACTCACTCCCATATGTGACTCCAGTCCCCCTACACCCAGCTCCCCATGCCAGGACCTAATTCACCCTCCTGTTCTTCCCCCTGAACTTCTTCCCTGCATTCTCCAGACACATTTCCCCAACCAGGCAGTTTGTCTGTGTGACTGGGTGTGCATACTCCACACTAGACCTCAAAGGGTTAACCCCCCACTATGGGTGGAGGAAGTCCCGCCCTTTAGACTGTGATGGGCATGCTCCAACTGCTGTTCCAGTATAAAAGGGAGCAGGCTAGTTCAGTGTTGGCTGACCACTGAGGAGTAAGGATGCTTGGTAGAGGCATCAGCCCCTGACTGTAGGAGCCAGAGAGCCTAAGAATCAGACCAGAGACCTGTTGTGTACAGCCAACTGACTGGAGTCAGAGTCCCAGGGAGCTACCTGTCCCAAGGAAACTGGAGACCCCGATGACATATGGCCTACAGCTTTAGGCGACAAGGTAGGAAGTGACCCAGGGATGGGGTTGAGTTGCAACACCCAGAACAAAGTCAATGTGTTGCAGTAGGATCCCTGCTGACTCTGTGGCAGACACACCCACCACTGCCAGGATCTGGTGGAGCAGGGAGAGCACAGGTACCCCTATCCTGGCTGTCACACACCCCTGCCCCACCCTGGGCCTGGGTAGCAGTCCCTGACTCTGGCCACTAGGCTGTGTGGCCCTGTGCCCAAGGTTATCCATATTGACTCTGGCCACTAGGCTGTATGGTCTTGAGTTCAAGGACAGTCTGGAAAACTCTAACCCTACCATACCCACAATCCAGCCCAAAGGGAGATGGCGTGTGCATACACTGTGACAATCCTCAACCATACCCCCTCAGCCAGCTCTGTCCTCCCGCCCTGACTCAGCCACATGTCCCTATGGGCCCTGCTCCACTTCCTGAAGCACCCTCAGTACATTGCTTGACCCCTCATCACCAGGCTGTGTTCTCCTCCTTCCTCTTCTACCACCAAACCTATCTGCATTCTCCCTCCCATCTATGAATCCCCCATCTGCTAGCTCCATTGTGCCAAATCACTGCTGTACTTTTTATTAATAAGTTGAACAAAAGGACAAAATAAATTGATAGTTCCAGCAGGAAATTAATTGCTCTATGAATCCTATGGAGTGGTTATTATGTGCACAGCTGCCTCAGTGGCTGATCTAATAAGAAAAACAGTACTCTTTCAGCTTTCTACTACCTTATGTTTAAAAACACATTTTTCCCCTTTTGCCTTTCAGAGTGAATATTGCTTTTCTCACACAGGGTCTTGTAGAAAGCTGACACAGGTAAAGCATATACTGTCTTTATGTTCCCACATTTATCTTGTTCACAGTCTATCAGGATCTGGCATTTAGTGCTCAAAGTCATAGTGCATTCAAAAACTGATTCCACTTATCCAAAGGGAGTTTAACTGCATATGTGTTTTGTCTTTCCAGCTTTACTTTTTATAGAACTCCTCTTAAGTACTGTCACTTTATATAATACTGACTGACTTGGCAGCATTCTTTGTCAAAACTACATATTATACTGTGTTTTCCTGAAAACATTTATATTTGCTCCATCAAAAAATTCAGGAAGAGAACATTAAAGTTGCACCATTAATCACCTTGAAGTCAAGAAAATTCAATTTTTAGTTTTAGAAAACTCTTACAACAATCATCCTTGTGTTTCAGTATTAACAGCAAGCTGAAGAATTGAGCTGGTTCTTACATCTGGGAGTGACAGTTTCAGGCTGTTTTTCAAATTTAGAAGGACAACATTTTGTTAATTTTTTAAAGTTTTCTTTCAACCATAAGACTACAATTTTAATAAAAGCTTGGTTATATTCTGGAGCAGTATTCTACAGTAATGGGAGGATTCTTTGACAAATACATTCTATAATTTATGAAATATTTAATTCCATTATCTGAAACATTTTGTACAGACCCCTTGGGAGCCCACTGTCTTGAACAGTATGCACACTCGGTTTCACAGGTATAAGCCCAGAAGCACTGCATGGAAGTGATTTTCAAACTGTTATAACACACCCAAATTGAATTCAGTTTTCATAGGAATGCTGAAAGGAACTTCCCTTCCCTACCAGTTGCCTCCATCCCATTTCATTTTGGTACCTCTCTCTGTTTCAGTGATAATTGCTCTGAAAAAGGCTGCAGGAACTTTCTTATAACATTCTGAGCTCCTAGAAGATCAGAAGCTGTTTGTTAGTGTGATTTCATTCGGGATACAAAACATACATAGGTTGATAGTCTCACACAACAATGATGTGAATCTGGCACTTTTGATACGAGGCAGAAAGACTTGACAAGCCTTGTATACAGCTTGGAACTCCAGGATACTGATATGGAGTGATGGTTTTTCTCCAACCACAGAGCTCGTGGCTGTAGCATCTCCAGATGGGCTCACCACTCTATGGCAGAAGTGTCTGTACTCAAAGTCGAGATGGAAGAGGAGTGGAGTAGAGAACTCTCCTGTCAGTGTTGGTTGGATCTATTGGGATATTTTAGGGGTAAGTATAACAATAAGCTGCTAATGTGCTGACATGGTATTAGGGGACAAAGGCATATGTAGGCAACATTTTTGTGTCCAATACATAAGTTACAGATTCTTTAGTATTTGTCTAAAATATAAGTTGCCAGATTCTTCCCATCTCTGTTGTTTATGAAGATTAATAAGGATGCAGTTGCAGAAGGAATGCCCTTTGTGTAAAAGAAGGTAAAAGGAATGCTTTCTTCCCCTCCCTCCTTTTCCCAGCTACATAAACAAGCCCTGGCTTAGGGTCCCTTTCTCCCCCTCCCCTGAGAACTGTTCAGACTCTTCCTCCCTCCCCTGAGAACTGCTGACGAGGGAGATTTATGGCAACAAATTGTTGCAAAGAAATGTATCTTCAAGGTAAAAGTAACATGTGTAATGTTATGAGTAATGGATGGGGTGGTTTACTAACAGTGGGTGTTTCTATTACATAATAAGGGTTGTTGGTGTGTTGTAGTGGATGTAGACGTGTACGTACTAATCTAATCAATGTAATCAATTCAGTGCTTACTGGACAATTGGGTCCAGGGGAACAAGTATCACTGTATAGAAGCCTGTACTCATATCTGCCTCTGGGTCAATCTGCTCCTTTTTTCTTCTAACAGGATCCTTCTGCCACTTCAGCAAGCAAAGCACCTTGGCAGAAATAATGAATCCGCTTGTCCAGAGGATGTTTGATTCAATGATAGGCAGACTTCAGCCATCCTTGTAAGCATCTGAGGCAGTCTGGCATAGTGAATCATGTAAGTACCGAATGACATTTGTCCCAACAGTCCTAGGCAAGATATTGTTGTTGTACCGGGGTGAGACGGTAGATGGATGCACAGGTCCACACCATCAAATCTGTCCTGGGGCAGATACTCAATTGCTATCATCCCAATGAACTCTATTCTTTGCATGGGTTGAGAATCTTATTTCTCTGTTTATTATTAGGCCCAGTTGAGTATACAAGGAGTATATCTGGTGAATACTGATCTCCACTTGATGCTTTGAGCAGCTGCGGACCAACCCATTGTCTAGTTAGGGGAATACCTGGATGCCCACTCTCCTGAGGTGAGATGCTACTACTACCATGCCTTGGTAAACACCCTTGGGACAGATGGCCGGCTGAAAGGGAAGATAGTGTGTTAGTAATGGGGGTCCACAACTAGAAACCTCAAATATTTGCTGTGGCCCAGGTACATTATCACATGAAAGCAGGCAAACTGGAGATCAAGAGCAGCATATCAGTAGCCAGGACCTAGAGATGAGATGATAG